CCTTCCCCAATTCGGAGTGGCGTAAACAGAGAGGTGGCCAACCCATGACCTGGCAGAGGAGTATGAAGGAGATCACGAAACGCTTAGTGCTGTCGGCGGAGTGCTTTGGGTGCTCAGATTATTCGTATGTCTGACGTTGTGCACTCACCCTTCTCTTCACGACTTACGTATTTTCTCCATTCCGGATGAGAAAACGGTTTTTCGGATAGAACACGAAGGCACTGCGTGGGATCCGTTGTCTTTCCATCTGCGTCGCTTGTTTTACATCGTTTCATGAAAGGGTATGAATACTGAACCCGGGAGCAGCATCAGGATTCCCGTTTGGGATGGGGCTGTGTTGATCACATCTCCACACTCCCTAAAGTGTTGGAGCAAAGACATGTGTGGGCAATCTACAGTATTGGTGTACTTTCATTTCACGGGTGCGTTCGATTCTGTCGATTTGTTCTTTTCAACACGCTTGCGCAACAGAGTATGTCCCGAAAGTCCGTGAATACCATACGCTGTTTGCTTTCATCTACCTGTTGGTGCGTGAGGGCGTATGGTGGGCTATTCAAAAGATTTCCAACAGTTAAGGGGGTCCGGCATATATGTCCACTCTTTTATTTTTGTTTAACCTCGTAAATGCTGAAGTAATGAGGCGAACATCGGAAGGCCTCCGAAAGCTCGTCCAGATCTCTCTGAGCGGTAATCTTGTCGACCTAGAATGCACATGATATTGTTGTCGTTTATTGAAAAGAGTAGGAGGTACAAGCAGACTTTAAAGATTAACCAAAGTCACCCAGTTCTTTGGCATGTGTCACGCGCCCACAAATTACAGTTCTGCTGCAGGAAGTACAGTTTATGAAAATACCTCTGAGAGTACAAGTAGTGACACTGGACGTTGTGGAATGCTGTACGTATCCTGGAAGTCGTATTAACTCTGACAGTAGTGCGAAAAGTGAAGCGAAAGAGTGAGCCACGAAGGCAATATTCACGTATGCGTCTTTTTCGGCACCAAGAGGCATCTGACTGGGCCTCAGAGGATGTGCGTATCAGACTGCGGTACGGGCTGTTTTGTTGTGCGCTTGTGAGATTTGACAATTTTGGGCGCAGGATCGGAGACGTTGTCAGGCCTTTGACCACTGATGTCCCAGAAGTCTGGCTGGAATCGGCTGGAAGCAGCGGATTCGTAATGAGGTTATCAGGAGGTGTTTTTGGTTAAGCAGAGGATATTGCCCTCAAATAATGTATGTAGCACTATAAACTAAGCTAGTTGGGCCATGTTTTACGCATCCGGAGTTACCGCTTGCTAAGATCAGTGCTGTTTTTTCGTGCCCAATCTGCGGTTTTCTTTTAGGACTCTGCTTTTATCATTCGACTGATTGGTCTTCTCCGAAAATCACCTTGTGCTTTAGGGTTTTCTTTGTTTCCTTGTCAGGGGGCTAATGATTCATATGTCTGACTCCGTTGACAGTGTGATGCTTGTCTGGTCAGTGGGGCGCGAGTCGTGGTTATCTCATCCCAACGCTCCTGCGCACAACAGACACTGTATCAGCCGCTTTGTGAAGATCCTATTGGACAAGTCGCCAATGATCACAAACACCTGTTGGTTAATCAAGTCGATTACCTAACCAACCTTATCCGACAAAAGGCAACGTTGCCGCCTCCATGAACATGGGACTGCCGTACGCCTTGTGCCAATTTCTTACTGATTTCACGTATACGACGCGAAAGCGCGATTTAAGCTCCCAATCGTCTGGTGGTAATATGGAGGCCTACTATCTGTCTCGTCGCTTCTTTTTGGCTTTCGCTTTGCGGTCCAACCTGTAGAAGGGCACTCCTGTTATTTAGCAATGGGGTCGTTCAGTCGCCCAATTTTGTCCACATCGTCAAGCCGATAGCTTCAGTCGAGCATAGCTTTTTTATTCCAGTCAACTCAAGACTGAACACTAGGAACGCTCTTATGACCGGGTCAACGAAGATTGCATCTTCACAAAGTTGGTTTTTGGCGTGCATTTGGTCCCTCTTCATGTAATTGCTCACCAGGTCAGTTAGCTTGTCAGAATCCAGCTAATGGGGGAGTTTACCGAGAACTTAGATTCTGTATAGATGCGACCAAGCTTCCGGAACCTAAAGAAGGGTGATCACAAATAAAGGCAAGTGCTACTTCCTGATTGTGCCGAAAGAACGTAAGCTCTCATTGGTTCTCGTTGCGCTCCTTGCAGGCTGCCTGCCTGAGTTTGCAAAACTCATCCTGATTCTTCAAATTTTAATGTAGGCCGTAGATCTTGCAACAGGCGTTTTCCCTTCTTAATTCACATTAATAATATCCTGTTTGTTTTGCTATAGCCTCTGTGTTTTGTGATGCGGACACAAGGCGATCATTGATATGTCAGAAGAACTTACTCCTTCCCAGCGAGCGCTTATCGCTCGCAATCGGGAACGCGCTGAGCAACTTCGCTTATCTCAAATTGTTGCGAATGATCAGTAAGTCACACATAGTACATTGGTGCATGTTTAATGTTACTCCTTCAGACTATTTTAATGGCTGGTATAGTAAAAAATCGTTCAGCTATGGCACCATTTCGGTGCCTAGCTGCTATGCCACACGAGGGCTGAGATACTTCCAGGTTACCCAAGCCTAGGCAGGGAAAGTCGAGAGGCAGAGGTCGGGTTCGAAACACGGACCTTCCGGTCAGTAAATTTGCACTCTAACCACCTGGACCATCTCGGCTGGTATAGTGGCACTACTTCTAGTACATCCGTCGATTTGATCTGAGAGATCATCCTCTTTACAAACTCTTCTTCGTGAACATGCGAAAAATAAAGAGCAACGTTCCTCAGTTTGATTCTTTTCTAGCGAGATTGCTTAAATTGAAGGATGATGCAAAACAAAGTCCATTAGCAAACAGCAAGTTTTTATTGAATGTTCAGAATTTTTTCTATCACTAGATTTATCGGAATAAGTCAAAGGGCATACCTTCCGTGGACAGCTTGGGATAGAGGCCTCAGTAGCTTCCTCCCTCACTCCGGGCCTAATTTTATCTTTATTTTTCCGACTGACTGGGATTTTCCCGAAATTACTGGTCAACGGTGGTTATGCCACTAGATGTTTGTACCCAAGTGGAATAGAACAAATCCAGGTATGCTGCTGCATATGAATCGGTAAATCCTAAGTAGGCCCGCAGGATTAAGATCGGTGAGGGCACAACAAGGACGTTTGGCGGACAGTCGAAATATGCAAAGGAAATTGAATTGCACAGCTTTCACGCCTTCATGGATCGCCTGTAGAATCAAGCCCAGGTTGACGGATGCCGCCGTCAGAAGCTTGCACTAAATATATTTTCCTTTGTAATCCGAAAGGTCAGATTAAAAACGACTCAGTTTGCGATTTCTCTAATCAGATGTTTCTCTCACTATTCGGGGATATGCCTTTACCTCTGTTATATTTTCCTTTTTTGCAGAAATGTATATGCTTCAGTGCGGGTTGCTAAACGCCATCGACCCTCAGCCACCGATGGTGGGTTCATCCCCGAAGATGAAGTTAGTGAAGACCAGACGTTATCTCAGCAGTTTGAGAAGGATGAAGAGCTGACGGATGACGAGTTTGAATCAGGTTGTCAGAGACGAACCAAACGTCATCGTCGAATCAGAGGTCTCCCTTTGAGTTCCACAGAACATGGACCACCTGATGTGGACCATCCTTTACCTCTTCCACCGGATGAAGACAAGCCACTTTGTGATCAGTGTAACCGAACATTTGACGACTCTTTTTTGCGGAAACACTTCGATGTGGATGTCTGCGATCGATGTCGGTGGGTGTCTATGATATCGGCTTTTACCCATTACACTCGTTATCACTGCATGTTGATTGACGGATGAACGGCACGTCTAATCTTCCATTATCACCAAAAAAGATCTTAATGTAGGCATGTACTGGGTTCCCTAAAAGCGCACAACAGACCCATCACTTGTTTGAGAACTTATCAGGTGAGAGAAGATTGAATCAACAGTTGATTCCATCCCCTTCATAACTGCTGATCTGTTGATCAACAGTTATGAACTGTTGACTTCATGATTACGCATGGGGCGACCAGTCTTCGACAGCTGGTGGTTTGGTCTGGTGTAAATCTTCTGAGTTGATTTTACCGAGCAATTTTATTAGACAGAGTGTCTATCCCAACTGGGTGTTGACCCATCGTTGAGGACCTGATACTAAGCCATGTGCTTAGTATTTGATCGGATACTTATAGTGGAGGGAGGGAAGCCTCGCCTGACTTGCCTTTCCGGGAAGTTATCGGTTCCTCGATCAGCTTTCCTAATTACATCGCATTATGACGTTTGCATCTATCTCGGTAGCAAGGAGTTTTATCTTTGTGAATACGGACCTGCTGACTTTCTCCAGATGCTTGATGTCAGCCGGATAACTGCAGCTATTGCTACTCATAAGTAAGCACAACAAGCATTTTGGCAATAACTTACTGAAAATTTGAAGGAAGACGGAAATTTTACGGAGCACGCAAACCAGAAGGTTGGAGAGATTCCGGGCAATGAGTGAATTGCTCAATCACTTCATGGCAACCGTTTTGACCGGATGAGTTGGATCCATTAACGCCTCATGCTACCGCTCACTTAGCACGTTGTTTGTGAAGTTATCTATCGCCTTCCTGCAAATGCCAGCTGCTCACTAGAAAGAAAGAAAGTCAATCTTCAACTACCCCATTTTGCGTTCCTATTTACTCAGCTGATTGACCCACGGTCTCAACGATTTCAAACCCCCTTTAGGATGCGTATTTACTGACTGAACTATTCATACCTGGAAGTGATGCACTTTGTGATCAATTTTTGAATCTGTTTGCTAAGATACGAGGGTGGGGCGAGATGTTGCAAGTGGTTAGAGCGTTAGGGGATTGTCATTCCTTCTGGGGTACGCAACTCGACTCGTGTGAGTCCCCTTAACAGTTCGCTTTCCGATAGCACTACGCGTGCCGAAAGAGAGCAGCTCCGTTCATCAACTTCGATAAGTTTCAGTAGCTGAAGAGTATCGAGATAATCTGGCTAGAAAGATACTGGAAACACAGTCATGTAGACGACGAAGACTGCTTGGAGGATGAATGGAGGCGAGTTAAAGAAGCAATCCTGGCAGTTTTCAGAACTGTTTGTCCAGCCCATCTGACTCGACTCAGTGATCACTGGATATCTTTGAGATCAGCAGATATTATTGCTGCCAGAAAGGCTATATCAGCAACTAGTGACCATGGTAGCACACGCAGACCCTTCAAACACCATCAGGAGCTAGGAGCTTAAAGAATGGCAGAACACTGGTGGATTTCGAAGGCCCAGAAGATGGAGAAGGCTTCTGCTGCAGGCAACAGCCACGCCCCATTTCAGCTGATTCGATCAACCGGTCAAAAAAGGCAGGTGTCAATGAAACAATATGCGAAAAGACGGTACGGTGACTCACTCCCTCGATCGTCATCTTGAACGGTGGACTGAGCACTTCAAAGAACAGCTCAGCTGGTCTCTTTCAATACAACCGCTGGAAGAACCAAGCGGGCCTGAATGAAACATCGACACCAGCTCGCTGTCAACAACGGAAATCCAGCGTGAGATATCAATCCTTAAGCATGACAGGGCGCCGAGGCTGTTTTTCTTGATCGGAAATCTGCTTTTGACTCTGTCGATCGTCAGCAACTTTGGCAGTGTCCATCGATCAAAGGTGCCTCTTCCAAATTTATATCCCCTGTGAGGCTACTGTATGCGCACTCCTGTGGACGCGTGTGAGTACACGACAAGCTTTTGTTTGAATCCACGTCCAGTGGTGTAACACAAGGCTGCCCCCTCTCACATTTCCTCTTCAGTTTTGTTATTGTGTGCTACTTTGAAATTTCTCTGCCTGTCTCAGAAACCTCGGGAGTCGAAATGCGCGTGTGACGTTCGCCCATAGACACTGAGTATATGGACGACACTGCTCTCATTGGTTCAGATCCTTCCCAAATGCAAATCGTTTTAACTAATCTAAATAACTCTGGTGCATGGTTTTGCATGCGCTTCACACCTGCAAAGTGAAAGTGCTGCTGTAAGACTGAGTGGGATCAAACCCAAACGTCATACTCTCAGGTGAGCCAATCGACGTGGTGGATAAATTTGTTTACCTGGGTAGTTGTATAAGTTCCAGTAGACTAGCTGGAGAGGAGATTATTTCTAGAGTCGGGAAAGCTAGGGCAGCTTTCGCCAACCTCCGTCCCCTATGGTGCCGACGTGACGTGAGTTTTTCTATCAAGGGCAGAATATATACTGCAGCAGTGCGATCCATACTGCTTTATGAATTAGAGACGTGACCTCTACGAGCAGAGGATGTACGGAAGATGTCATGTGTTTGACCATCGGTGTCTCGTAAGCACTGGTCAGGTCTAGCGGGAACATCGGATTAGTAATGCTGAGGTACGCCAGATGGTCTCAAGAAGAAGGAGCTCTTTAGGGATTGATGAATTCCGCACGCCTAATAGGTTACGCTGGTTAAACGATTCCCGAGCGAACTGAACACGCCATCGCCTCTAAGGCTCGGCTGTATGTCCCACACTCTCCCACTTTCCGGTGATCGAAAGTGTAGAATTTGGGACCAATATGCCCATGATAAATGGTTAATATCTGGTAAGTTGAACTGACCGATGTATTGTTGTCTAGAATCCGTTGAGAATCAGAACACTAGAGCGGTAGGATATGGTGTTGTTGATAGAGTATCATCATCGTGGGCGCTGAATGAGCTACAGAACAAAGACCGCTGCAGTGTATCGAAAATACGGTTGAGGAAAGAACAGTTTTGAAAAACCAGTACGCTAATGCATCACACTGTGGAAAGAATCTCGTCGATGCGCACACGACTCCAGCGGTCATTCAAGAGGCCTGCAGCCCATTTGGCCGTTTTCGAATATACGTCGATAATTTTGGGTAATCGTTAAACTCCGGTATGCGATCAAAAGTGGTATTCTCCTCGAAGTCGATAAAAAGTTCCATCCCACTCCAGAGCAGTCTCGCTTTGTTAATGCACAATTGTTAGCAAACCACAAACAGCCTTGTTTGCAGTCATTTGTGTGTTTCGTTATGTTTAAATATGTTCGCTCGTATTGGTCTAGTATTCGATTAGTTCTGAAGTCCACCGATCTTTATTTGCTCGAACTCGGCTATCGTCCCACACCACACTTTTGACTAGAAGTACTGAGAGTTATGGATTGGATAAAAGAGGCCCGGGTTCGCGTTCAGTGAAAGGCGGAACAACAGTTTCTAAAGTATATATCTGTATTGCCAGGTAGCGTTGTCAGTTTGGATGTTTCTGGTCTCACCTTGGATTCTGTAGTTTCGAAAATGTCAAGCGACGTTACCTCCGTTTACCTAACGTGGAAGACCGGAGGTGTGAAACACCGCCGTAGGGCGGTTGTGTATAAGCCTGTATGGGTGATTACTCGGTAGGGCGTTACTTTGTAGATCATGTAACGACTGGCCAGCAAACACTCTAGGACTTTGGACGGAAATGTTGGTGGTAGAGATTGGCTGATCATCATTCTCTATGGGTTTCTCATACGTCTCTTGACTTCAGCGTGTGTTTAACGCAAAACTGCGTGGCTAGTCCTGCCAGACAGCAAGTGATCAGCTCTTAAATGAGTGTCAACTGAACAGTAACTTTTCTGGTTTTGGCACACCCTTCGAATTGGGACCGAAAGAATTTCCAACGAGTTCTGTTTGTTACAATGAAATGAGAATAGTAAGTGCTTACGTATGGTAGATATAAATGAGATTAGGTACACTCAGTAGATAGTCCTGCCAGACAGCAAGTGATCAGCTCCTAAATGAGTGTCAACTGAACAGTAACTTTTCTGGTTTTGGCACACCCTTCGAATTGGGACCGAAAGAATTTCCAACGAGTTCTGTTTGTTACAATGAAATGAGAATAGTAAGTGCTTACGTATGGTAGATATAAATGAGATTAGGTACACTCAGTAGATTCATTTGCTAACTTGAAACAGATTATGTTCATGGGGTAGTGCTACTTTTCTGTGATCATCGTTCTATCCATACCCAGATTACAACTATTCCGTAGGGTCTTCATGATCCAACTTGCTGGTTCTCAGGCCCTTTTCAGTAGTCCCAAATTTTCCAGAGAAATTTGGTGCTGCAGGGTATCCTGTGCTCTCTATTTTCTTTCGCGCGCGTAACTTCTGGCTACTTACGAGTAGTTGAAATCGCATGCGATGCATCGGTCGGCCAGACATGCAGGCAGCGCCGCCACTGTAGCCTCTGTGACTAGTGGATAGAAAGGCGGGATCCCACGGAGACTGCTTCTCTGAGCGTAGGCCATATGTTGTCTGAATAGATTCCAGATTTATATAGTCTGGTGAATCTGCAATTCTATGTTGTGTCTCGTTGGTTTCAACGCTGTTGCTAGTTGTGCTCTAGGCATACAGGGCTTAGGTCCTCTCAGTCTATGTAATTTTCATACATACTGTCTGTAAACTGCTCTCCGGATGGATAGTTCTGCAATATAACGGTATTCGTTTTTTTCTGTTAGCATCCTCACGCATATATTTGTGACATGGTCTCCTCAGGCTCCTAACTAAGCCTCAATCAACCCAGTTTTATCCCGCTTTCTTAACTCATTTCAGTGATCCCAAAGGACTGCATACCATGATTACAAAATCCACCGCCAAAGACCGTTATCTTGTCAACGACGTGGATCTGGACGTAAGGGAACCAAAGTTGCGCTTTATTCTCAAACGCAATCCACACAATTCAATCTGGGGAGACATGCGATTATATTTGGAAGCGCAAGTATGTTTGTGCACGACTGCAAAAGCCTCATTATGACTCTGTTACCTGTATATATACTCCGACGCCTAGTATTGCTCCACAGGAACTTGGTGTGATATAACATGTATACACTAGTAGAGAGGCGAGAACCTAAGTCTCCTTCCACACTTGTTTTCTTTTCCCTGGACCATGTTTGTACCGAATACAGATCGGGACTTCAGGAAAGTAGTATTGATAAGCAGTATTGATAAGTAGTATTGATAAGCCGTTTACTGCCGTTTACCCCTTGGCTTCTCGTTGCTTTAAGTAGATTTGTTTACTCTCTCGAATGTGACCTGTTCCTTTTCTGTTTGCATGTTCATTTAGTGGGAGATATGTCTAATAGCATTGTGAACACACACTAGGCATGTCAACTCGTGGCCGTATCGATTTGTCTCATTCCCTACTTTTCTCCATTCTCTGTCGCACTCTGGCATTCATACACGTACTTCCCGGACAGCTCAGTCTTGCTTCTGTTCCAGTCTTCGGGTCAGTCAGCTGTACTGTTTGTGTGGCCTACATCCATGTACGAATACTATGGCATCAAACTGTTTAACTTCTCTTAACGCCGTAGAACATCCAGGTGGAGCGTGCTTGCTATTAACTACATGAGAGCTGGTTTTGCAGTTTCAGTAAACAGACTCCCGAAATTATATCCTAGTGGTCACTGACCTCTTTTGGTGCCTCTGTGGTGCACCATGGACTTTTGTAAAGATGTTTGCACGCGTCGCTGAGTTAAATTCTAGTTTCCGAACCCATGAATTTCTAGGAAAAATGGTTCTGCCGAACTTCCCACCAGAGGATATTTTGAAGTAACGAAGCCAAGGTTCAATCAATCAATCGTTCATCTACAGCACCCCCTCGGCGTCTAACTACCGTGCCACCAGAAGGAAGCACGAGAGCTGGGATACTGCCAGGTTACCCAAGCCTAGACAGGAGAGCTCGAGAGACAGGTCAGGTTGGAACTACAGGACCTTCTGATCGGTAAACTCGCTCTCTAACCACTGAGCCATCTCGCCTCGAAAGTAGCCAAGGTTGCCTCACACAGTGGCTGTTGCAGTTGCCGTGTGTTGACACCACGAGTGGAGTTTGCTAATCTTCTTGCTAGATCTTCGGTTTCCCTGCTCACTACACAACTTCAGTTCTATTTAGCACCAGGCATTTTCCAATTAGCGGGCTCAAGGCTAGAGCGCCTTCACTCACTGTCATCAAAGGTGGGCTGCTTAGCCTTTTCTGACTTTTAATTTAATGTAGTTTGTACAAGACAATGGGCCACTTTATTTTCTTTTTCGGCACCTAGTTTCTATTTGCAGTCATTACTGTTCCTGTGCTTGCTTAGTTCCGGCGTAGGTGACAATGTATTTCTTTGTGTCTTCTTTCAGGTCGCCCAACGCTCTTTAGAGATCTGGGGTAGTGAAGACAAACTGGAAGCTGAACGGGAACGACGAGCCCGCCGAGTGGAAGCATCAAAACTGAAGCACTATAACAAAAGGATCAAAGGTACTCCTTTATATCTTTTTATGTTGACTTGTTTTGAAAGAGCGAGTTATTTTCACTTTTGTGATTGTCATTCTTTGTCGTCTAAGGCCTCATCTGTGACTTGTCCAAACTTCAGGAGTACTTTCGTGTTTTTTGTCAGCTCTGCAAATTTCTTACCAAAAAGTAGTTCAGTGGGAGAATTTCTATCTGATCTGCTTTTCAATAAAATATGGATGAAGTTGATGAACTGTTGTTGTAACAGACAGTTCCTATAATTCACATTCGTGTTACCTCTATTCAATGTATTGCGGTATCTGCAACATCGTACCAACTGAAACATGAGACTGCCTGGTGCAGCACATTCTGTTGAAAAAGAACATCATAAACGCGGGATTCAGTTGGGTCTGCTCTTGAAACCAAATTGGTATATCTCTGATCACCTCTAAAACGCCCAGTCTCGGACTGCTTCAATTGGACGACCTAGACTTTTGTGCTACAAGCACCCTCTGAGGCGAAATCAGTAGTCCCTCCACCTCCAATAAAAGACTACCAAAATTGTCCTGGGTATCAAACTCATTATTCATCTGTTCCATTTTTATACTTTGTAGAGGTTTTGTTGCACACTTTGCGCATATTTTACGTTCTTACCATAGTCGTGAGGTTCCCCAATAGGCTATGTTGAATACTTTGTTATGTTATGGGTCTCTATTGTATCTAGACTTGCGAAGAGCGCTGCCCGTTCATCACACCGATTATTAAGTTAATACGCCTTATGAATTTCATATGAATCAGGTAATAAAAACCTGTTTCTTAAATAACAGCAATAAACCTTCTCGTATTATTCCTAACTGAAACGAAAAGACTTGGCAGCGCACTCGCATAAAGTTATCCAGATTCCAACATGATTAATAAACCCATGAAACTGATTTGCCCAGCAATATCCACCAAGTTAGTAGTAGCAGGAAATCTGTTGATCTGGAGGATTTAAGATCTCACGAGACACCTACTAGGTGATAGCCGCACAGCCGCTCAGTCGTATTTGAGAACTAAGTTGGGCGACAATGATTTTTTTACTACCTCTGTGATCATTCCCTGCACGTTAAAGATTCCTATGTCTGGAACCGATTGTGATGAACGTCCCAACACTACGCTGACTGCCGAAGCAATTGATTGAACAAACTGTGGCTATGTGCGCTAATTCGCTGTGATGTTGTCAGAAAAGGCCCAGTATAAGACATACAGCTCGACCAGAAACGGAGCAAAATCCCGAATTGTGTTTTTAGGACCGCTAACACGCTACCGGCGCCATAAAAACGCCACTTGACGTTTGAAAGCTTTCAGATGCCTTTTCGTAGGCACGTTGGCTTGACTACTGAACTATGCGTAGCTGGTTCTTTCACAAATTCGCGCTTTCATTTCTAACATTTGTTGTTCAATCGAAGTCTTTCCGTCTCTTTTCAATAGGATGCTTGAATCGTGGAGATACCTCCCACCTTCACTTTTTATTACCGTCTTCAATGTTTCACTCTTCAAATCAAGAGTAACCATGCATTAATCACCTTGACACTCTGTTTACTCGGTCTTGTTTCCTTGTTTTGGCTTTTGCCTCTTAGAAGTCTCTCGACTTCATCTTCCACTCTTCCTTGTGGTTTCACGGTTTTGTCCAACATCCAAATAACTCGTAACTGAGATGCTGTCGGCACAAAACATAGCTGTAAAAGTGAGATGGCTCAGTGGCTAGAGCGCTGATTAACAGACCGGAGGATCTGTGGTTCGAACCCAACCTCTGTTTGTTGACTTCCTCTGTCTAGGCTTGGGCAACCTGGCAGTATCCCAGCCCTCGTGCTCCCTTCTGCTGGCATGGCAGTTAGGCCCCGGAAGGTGTTGCAGCTGAATGCTTTTGATGATTGTTCTGTAAAAGCTACAACCGCTCTTAGGAACAGGTGTTTCAGTGACTTGAGTCTGAGGCCCGTCGAAACTGATGGCTTTGTTTTTTGATTCGTTCAGATTTATTTCATTTGTTTACCGACCGGTTGCATCTTGCATCACTTTCTTTCATCTTTAGCTTGAACTACGTCTCTTACTGCGGGAAAATTTGCTAGTTGAATCTTTCAGTGCTTTCCCCTCCAAACTAGACTGTGGGACCATCTCGAAAGTCAAGTATCAAATCTTTTGCAGCTTTAGCAGGCTTAATAACTATTACAGTTCAACCTTTCAGCTATCGTCGAGCCCAAACACCACATGATTGGTTATGCTTTCTGCTTCAGAACTGAAAGTTCAAACTCGTAGTAGCCTGTTCACGAAAACAACGGCCACACACGAACATTCCTTCGGTCCGGAAACGTACGATCGTGAGAAAGATGTGTACGTGAAGCGTTGTACAGAATGCAACTACACCAATGTTTTTGAAAAACTTTAGCTTGTACGTAGATGCCAACCGAAGTCCGTCAGATGTAAATACAACCGTCCATTTTTCTAAACGCGTCTTCCTTTTTGTGTGGAAACGATAGGGACAAGACCTCACTCAAGGTTGTTGAAAGCCTCATGAGTACCAGCGATCCTTCAAGAAGATATACTGTGGTATCTAGAATATCGTACCAACTAAAACATGAGGTGGCCTTTGTATAGCATATTCAGTTGAAGAGCATCAGAAACGAGAGATTCAGCTGAAATTCAGTTGAGTCTCCCTTGAAAAAATGAGTGTATTTCGCGGGCGTTGATAGTTCTTTAAAAGTTCAGGAAGCATGCGTCGCATACTCGTTCGCCTGAGTGAATTAAGCTGAAGAGATTAGACTGATCACGGTGCTTGTTTTCTTCTTATAGTATAATACGGTTTCTGAAAGACGCCTGTCTTGTTTTGTGCGTTTCGATCGCACTGGAGCCCATGGGTGGCAGCTATAATGCATAGGTTGCGCTAAATATTTAATCAATTAGGCTACATCATCTATTGTAGCTATTTTAAAGCTATGCCCTAGGAGGACGCTACAACTGAACAAATATTTCTGCTTTTTAATATGGTTTCCATAGTTTCTTCCCTTCTCCTCCATCCTTTTGTTTGACGTAGTTCATTCTAGATTTGTGAGAGAAATACGTGGCATTTTTTTAGGTCATCCCTAGATTCTCATTCCTCTTTTGTGGCAAAGTTGTGAAAATCAGCTCCAGTCTATCACTAAAAATGTGACGGAGTCTGTGATTTGTCCAAGATCTGCCTTGTTGTTGTTGTAGGGAACTTGTATTTACACACAAAGTTACCAGCTTCCACCTCCAATGCGCAGCTACTTACCCCACCTCCCCGAATCATCGGTGAACGAAACTGTGGCAGCTGCAACCACTGTACGACAAGTACGCGGTCATTACAGGTGACAATGATGATGCTACTCAGGAATAAGTAGACTTTTCTTTGGTGCATATGAGTGCTCCTTCATTCATCTCAGTTCAGCATAACAGCAGCAAATGCAAAGAACTGAAGACATCTCGTGGGAGGTAGGTGCGATCAGACTATCCTATGCCTTGTAAGAGGACTCTCTGATGAAAGTACTGACCCACATTATCCACCTATCTATTCACCAAAAATTGGTAACTTAGTAATCTATTAATTTTGGCCAAATAATATCTTCATACGTGTAAAATCAAGGATGGAAGAGTTAGCCGTCCGTGTTTTGTTATCGGTTTGACGTGACACGCTTCCGCAATCATGTCGAGTGCGAGTTTTGAGCCAATACGGCCATCCCGATGGGAATGAAACATGCGAACACATAAATTAGACGACGATCCATCGTCCACCGATAGTTTACTGGCGATTTCTGGAAGACTTCTCACTCGCTTGTGTGAGAACGCAATGGTGTAGTGGGATAAGTAGGTCCAGAGTAGTAGTATTGCATTTTAAAACTTATATCCCTTTGGAAGTTTGAATAACTATGAGAATTCGGAGACTGATACATACACCCTAAGAATTACATCAAATTGCTTTTGAACACAGTGCAGGCACTGATCTATTTATTGCAATTGCCTCGTCAGGCCTCAGAACATGTGAATTTCTTTGGCGAGGAACGATAGTCAATGTTGAGGCGAGATTAACATGCTAACCCGTGGCGGCCAGATGTCTGTTCGTAGGAGACTAATGTTTTCCGTAGTTCGCTTTGGTACTTTGGAAAGATAATTTCAGACTTAAAGAGCTATGTGCCCTCCCTTTCCGATTGTGAGACGCCTATCGGTTCTGTCAATGTAACTTGCTCAGCAGCTAATTTGGTATACACTATGCAACGTGAACCCGGTTGGTTGGTTGAGGGCAGCTTTAACCGCGTAGTCCGTTCGAGGGCGTTTTACGTCCCATTTACTGCTGCTACCGGGTGCTGTGTTCCTTGGAGGAGGCTCTCAGATGTCGTGCCACGCTTTCTAGTTTCAATCCCTTTGGTATGGCTATCAGGAAGGTCATATTCCTCAAAGTAACCCCAGAACGCCCGTAAGATGTCAAAGCTGAGTAATAATTCATGTCTTTCTTCAGTTACAGAGGAACAAAACTGCGCACTGTTCACTCCATGCTCTCTTATTCTAGGCGTTTCTCTTAATCATGCCACAGAAGCACGGCCGAATGTTATCAGCTTTCAGGCATTTCATAGAAGCACCGTTGATGTTGATGGGTGTTCACTAAACGCCTATCAGACAGCCTGCATCGATGTCAGAAAGTGCCCCTTAACTAGTGCGGGGTCGGTGTGAATTTTTCAGTGGCACGCACTCGCTTGTTGCAACAAAGCTCTTGTGTTCCTTGTCGGTGAGTTGTTTTTCTGACACCAGGCACTGGAGTGGAAACAGCAGTCAGGTATAACAATGGCGTACTTGAGATATCAGTTTTGCTCCTCTCTTTTTCGTGACTAGTCCCAATTCATCGGCAACACAGTCTAGTGTGCAAATCGGACACGCTTGTGTAAGCCATTCTTACCACGTTCCCTTTATGCTTCAAAAAGGTGAAACTGAAAGAGTGCATGTATCAACCTGGTCACGTAGGTAGAAACCACATTAAATAGACCCATCAAAATATCCGGAAATAGCATGGATCAAAAACATACATCATACCTCGGTATGCCTGTACCAATGGTTAACGTGATACCAGCTTCTTGATGGAGATGCACGACCTTCTTATCCCACTGAATGCTCGAGTCCGTCAAACGATTGGTTGACAAATACCACCATTGGAATATGCGGCTTAATTTTGGCCAGTCCGATAATATGCACTGCTTGTGCGGGTTGCAAGTGGTCATCCACCTAACACTGCCAAATTCCTTGCCATAATGGATAAACTGGCTGGTCAATTAGTCGGAGATTAATCGGACAGTTACCAGTCACTAATTTGACCGCACATACCAAACCATGTGGTGTGAGACCAAACATTTCAGCGGAGAATTCTGTTAGTTTACAAGTCAAAAACACATTCCAGGGTTATCCTGTGGAATAACCATAGAAAAGCACACGTATGCAAAACTACAAAGGTCGCCAGGTCAATAACAGCATTTTAATTCCTTGATGTGGTCTAACATCTCATCCATCGATCTCCATATAGTAGTTCAAAGGTGGCCATATGAATTTCTGTTTCCAGTCCAGACGATCTAGCTAGTAGTTCGAAGTCGTGGTTGAAAAGTCCACATCTCATCCAATTACCGTTTCACGTAACAGAACAACACCTGACACGAGTTCCGCCCCTAACCCAATGTGGATACAAATTCAGCGAATCCTGCAACTTTTCAGTAGTAATCGAATGATCTAACGTGTTTAAGGTGTCCGTGAAATTGTCACATCTGGAATTTCTGATAAGCTAGTCTCAGTAACATAAACTTCTATCAGATATCACCGGGTAACTCAAACTCAAGATTTCCATGTGGTTACTACATGCTAAAAGAATATGCAAAATCTCTTCTACTGGCTATTCGTATTCAATCGCGTGTTGTCCTACTCAGGTATGCAAAATTGATACTTATTGTTTTGAATTTTTGACTAGGTGGATGAAGCGCGGCTTGATTTGGGGGATAATGTGGACACATTTGTCTGCCTTGGTAGAAAGGGGATATGGACACAGATTATCACGTGACCGGCTCCCGACACCAACAGACATCACCTCAATTCCCGTCACGTTGTCAAATAGAGTATCCTGGCTAAAAAACGGTGAAGATGATCCAGCTGAGTGAGTAAATGTGTAGCGGGAGTACGAGTAGAAAAGCATATTCAATAGACTTTGAATCACAGATTTCGTTTTGTTCGCCTCTGAGACCGAAATCAGTTGTGTCTCTAGAAACCATAAACGGGGAGACTAAATGGAGCAATGAATGTAACCTTGTGATAGCATATCAGGAGTGTTGTATGACACCAAGAGCATAGAATACTCGTTCAAGCAATCCGAGGAGAAACACAAATCATGCAGAGTGTAGGAAAGATCTTGTAGTGCTCATTTCAGAAGGTTAGCTACACCCAAGGCTCACACATCCCTCGTCGTCACGTTCGTGATGTCTTGCCAAGCTACAGTTTGTTGAACTTTGTTGTGGTTCTATCGAAGACACCCTCCTCTGGATACATTGTTACATACATTACATAACCAAGCAAGAGTAGCCGTGTGACAAACCCTCTGGCACCAACCGACTTCTATCTAAAGATGTCCTAAATATTTGGGAGTCTTAGCACTGGTTACAGTGAATTGATCTACATTGCTTTAAGACTGCACGAAACACTTCTCTCGCTATGGCTAAAACCATCACCGCCTGGAAAATAAAAACCCTTCCGGGAACCTTACCGTTGCATGCGGTCATTTTTAAATGTTCATCAAGAAGCTTTGGGCACCCTATCGACTCACCCTACCTACTTGAAGCATCGATTGGAGAACGATGAGACGAAAGGCATATAGGATTGTGCGCATATGTTGAAATATTATATCCGGGTGGAATTGCTGCTGCAACCGTTGGCGAAAACCAAACGGAACTTTCATCACACAACATCTTGAAATTACACAGAGAGGGGACAGATACTAATACCAAGAGACCCTTGTGGGATTATTAGGTGACATAGAAACTAGGGCAAAACCAGCGCTGCACAAGCTCCTAACACGCACTGGAGGAACCATTTTCTAGTCATTCATCAGAACTTTTTATCATTTATAACTGAAGATAACATCGCGTTTCGACCGTCCAATCGGCAAAACTGAACTGTTCTAGTCAGTACTGTAGTTTAAAATAACTGATGACTTCGAACTAAGATAGATGCTGTACAGCCAATCGTTCAGTGGACAAAACACAAGCGAATGTATCTAAACATCCAGTGAAGCTTGTGAAGGGCGACAAACAGTGTTCTGCGTAAAGTAATAAATCTCATGGTCCAAGTTTTCTTTGTTTATTCCCGTCGCATCAGCAGCATTACAACATCAGAATGTGATTGAATAGATCGTTTTGTAAGACCGTTCTGCCACGTATGCTGTATTCTAGTAGTCAGACGCTTGGATTTTCCAACACGATGAAACGTTTACAGGTAACTGATGTAACCTCCAGGTTGGTGTACGTTTTCAGCGCTTACGCGACGATAATAACAAACAATGTACCAGTAAACCGCAAGTTAGTTCCTTAACGTGGGATTCATCTTGATAATTTCGGGCAATCTATCCTACGTAACTCAGAGGACGTTGGGTACCACCAACACCGCAGTCCCGATGATCCGGAAGTCCCATTTTCGTCACATATATCCTTTAGATCGCAGACACTTGTTGCTTGCGCCTAATATGACAACTTGCCCCGGTTATTGTGGGTGCTAGATTGTGTATTGTCATCCCATACATAATGTTTTGCAGTTCAACTCCAAATCTTCACTGCCACTCAACTACTTCACACCTTTTATCCATTTATCCGTCCGAAAAGACGAATGAAGCATCCTATGCTGAACCGTAGCAGCAATTGTCGGAATTCATTCGTGATTTTTAATGAGGCTTCTTTGCGTTCTCTGCACTTTCAGCATATCTGTCCTGGAGAACCTAATTAGTTCAAATCAATACTATCAGACAAACTAAGAACGATACGAAGACCAATCAATTACATCGCGGACTAATACTACTAATGGACCCGTTCTGACCACGTTTTCCGGGTCGGGTGCAAATTCACGTGTGTGCAAACAAAATCTGAAAATTATTTCGTTCGTTACATTCCGTCAGCCATTAAAAATATCATGACCATGTGTCTGTATCGTTCGCGCAGTGCGGGATTTTGCGGAGAATAGGAATGGACCGAGAAAATAGCGGGAGATAAAATTTTGCGAAGCAAAATACGGTTTGTTGAAGTTTCACGGAAATCGTCGAGGTTGTGCTTAATTTTTCCGGCAGTTTTTTTTGACAGTTCAACTGAATTCCATCAAAGTATAGCCAACG